GTCACTCTACCTCGGCTGGAGTCGACCAGTGAACCTCTCTCCTCTCCAGGGTCACTCTACCTCGGCTGGAGTCGACCAGTGAACCTCTCTCCTCTCCAGTGCCACTCTACCTCGGCTGGAGTCAACCAGTGAACCTCTCTCCTCTCCAGGGTCACTCTACCTCGGCTGGAGTCGACCAGTGTGTCCACAACACAGACCAGGATGGCAGGACTTGCAGTACCAGGGAACAGCACATTATAAACACCTTCATAAAACAAATCAGATAAGAAACAAGATGGGTGTAAGGATTTCATAATTATTTTTAAATCTTATTAATTATTAACTTGTGGTGACAGAAAATCAAATCGGGAAGGGAAGCGCTACCGGAAGACCACCTGGAACTTCGTTAATATAACTATACAAAGGTATAGTAATAATATAACTATACATAGATACAATAATAATAATAATGTAACAATTCATATACATAGCAATAATGTAACTATATATAGATACAGCAATAATGTAACTCCATGTAGATATAGTAATAATGTAACAGTGCATAGAACCCACCAGCCAGAACCATGAACATGGAACCAGAAACACAGAGTTGAGCCTACTACAGCCTACCACAGCCTACCACAGCCTACCACAGCCTACCACAGTCTACCACACCCTACCACAGTCTACCACAGCCTACCACAGTCTACCACAGCCTACCACAGCCTACCACAGCCTACCACAGTCTACCACAGCCTACCACAGTCTACCACAGCCTACCACAGTCTACCACAGCCTACCACAGTCTACCACAGCCTACCACAGTCTACCACACCCTACCACACCCTACCACAGCCTACCACAGTCTACCACAGCCTACCACAGCCTACCACAGCCTACCACAGCCTACCACAGTCTACCACAGCCTACCACAGTCTACCACACCCTACCACAGCCTACCACAGCCTACCACAGCCTACCACAGCCTACCACAGCCTACCACAGCCTACCACAGCCTACCACAGCCTACCACAGCCTACCGTGTCTGACGCCTAAAAAAAAAATCTCAGATGAGCCAAAAATTAGAAAAAAAAATAAATCTAACTCAATTTGCTTTAACTGACTTACTTAAAAAATTAATATACTAACACACGCTGATGATGCTGGCTAATTGATGCATTGATGGTCCTAGCATGTGTATTAATGGCTGATGCTAACGTGTGCATTGATGGTTGATGATTGTAATGTAGCATTGATGTTTGATGATGATGGTAACGTGAGTGTAATAAATCAATAGATTTATCGTTTATCTTTTGTAGATCTATCACAACTCTATCGTACAGCCATCATAGGAGTCTGTGATGATGAGCGGTGATCACTATCGCCTCACCATCACAGACACAACACTACCTCATCACAACTACATTATATAAATCACCATCACGAACACCATGTACATTTCCAACAATACAATTACAATCCACTATCATTACCAAACATCATCCACTCGCCAACGTCAGCACACTCATCACCACCACATACGTCACATAAATTACCACAACATCACTATAAAACATCACACACAAACAGTCACAACACAAGCAAAACATCATATACCCTCACCACAACATCATACATCACCATAACATCAACCAATAATCAATTCATCACCATACACCACATCATCACCACCCTCAACCACATACATCATCATACACCAAATGCTAATCATCACCATCACCACATCCATCACATAACATCATCCCAAACATATAGCTCACACACTCATCACCATCACTAATACAACAGCACATCTCACAATCACTACACTTACTCATACTAACTTCACTCACCACAACATCACACCACACTCATCACCATCACCACATCATCACCTCACACATCATCACCACAAATCATCACATCACCATCAACCATCACACATCATCACCATCACCTCAACATCATCACCATCACCTCAACATCACCATCACCACAACATCATCACCATCACCTCAACATCATCACCATCACCTCAACATCAACATCATCCACAACATCATCACCATCACCTCAACATCATCACCACATAACATCACCACAACATCATCACCATCACCTCACAATCACCATCACCTCAACATCACCATCACCACAACATTCATCACCATCACCAACATCATCACCACAACATCACCATCACCAAACATCATCCCACATCATCACCATCACCTCAACATATCACCATCCTCAACTCACCATCACCCAACATCATCACCATCACCTCAACTCATCACCATCACCTCATCATCACCATACACAACATCTCACCACACTCTCCCACACTCAACACATACATCGATCAACTCCTCACCCAACATCCATCTCACATACATCTCACCTGCCCCCGCACCTCAGAGTGGTATTCGAAGTGGGTTAAAGTGGCCAGGTGTGACCCACAACACTGGCCCAGCTCCTCGCCAGCCCACGCAACACATCGCCTCTCACTCCTCTCAAACACCAGGCAAAACAATGTTAACATGCATAAAAAAACGAATCTGGTGTAAGAATTCCTTCATTGTAAAATTTATGTTGGTTGATTCGAGTGTTCGGACGCGGGCAATATCAGGGAGCAGCGATTTGTCGGAGCTGGAGTCGGCACAATATTTGGAAAATGGTGGCAGGAGAACGCCAAAACTTTAGTCAAACAACTGCGCCCTGATTGGTCCACACCGATCAATGTTTGTCTCAACACGCTGCTGATTGGCTAAAAGGCGTGGCTTGATTTGGTAGGCGGACCCTGGGGGGGAGAGGGACCAATGAACGGGTGGTATTCTGGAAGGCGGTGGGCGGGGTGTGGTGCCGCGGGCGGATATTCTAAAAGTTGGTATCCCGTGATGAGGGAGGTTACTGAGCGCTGAGGCGCGGCGGAGAGCTGTGCTACACTGCCGCTCTGTGTTATTGCGTTACCCACACGTGTGATGGAGGCGGTGTGTGGGCGTGAGTCCCCGGTATCGCCGCCCACGGTGGTGGCGCCCGTGGCTGTCAAGGCTGTGAGTGAGGCCCACACGATGCCCGTGCCCACTGACCAGCAGCGCCTGCTGTACCAGTTGGCCCTGGCCGAACGCCTCCGTCTGGCCTCCGCTGGCCTGGCCTGGGCCAGACCCCCGCTCTCACCGCACCATCACCACCTCCAGGAGGCCACCATGGGCGGCATGATGGGCGGTCTCATGAGCAACCACATCATGGGCGGCCTGGGAACACCGCTGATGGGCGGTCTCAACACCGCAGGCTTCGGGAACGCGCTGATGGGCGGCCCCGCGGGTCCGCCGGTCGCCGCAGCCTACCCGCATCCGCCGCACCCGCTCTATGGTTACCGCCTGATGGACCCGCGGGTCTTGTTGCCCCGGGGCCCCGAGGAACCCAAGCCTCAACACTCATACATCGGTCTCATCGCCATGGCCATCCTCAGCAGCCCTGAGAAGAAACTGGTCCTTAGTGACATCTACCAGTATATCCTGGATCACTACCCGTACTTCCGGTCCAGAGGACCCGGCTGGCGCAACTCCATCCGTCACAACCTCTCCCTCAACGACTGCTTCGTCAAGGCTGGCCGCTCCGCTAACGGCAAGGGCCATTACTGGGCCATTCATCCTGCTAACATCGACGACTTTCGGCGAGGTGACTTCCGTCGGCGGCGCGCTCAGCGCCGCGTCCGGAAGCATTTGGGTCTGGCCGTGGATGACGACTCTTCACCGGAGCCGCCCTCGCCCACGGCTGCCCTCACTCTCACCCACGACACGCCCATGGCCGCCCACCACACCACCCTCACCGCCCCAGATGACGCCTCCTCCCAGTCACAAGCATCTCCAGGCTCACACCCTCAGCCCGCCGCGCCCCGCAAGCGGCAGTTCGACGTGGCCAGCCTCTTGGCCCCTGACGACAAAGTGGCCAAGACCCGCCGACACACTGACGACCAAGACTCGGCTGAGATTGACGTCGTTAGTGATGACCCCGGTGACGACTCTGGCCCCGTCGCCGCCGCCGCTAGATCCACCTCCCCAGCTCCTCCAGACGACGACCACGACGACGATGACCACGACGAGGACGAGGAGCGCCCCTGGTCCCTGCTGGGGTGGGTGTCAGGGGCGTCCTGGCCTATACCCACCACCACAAATAACGACTCTCACCCACGACCCACACACGACCCTTCCACTGCCCAGTGAACCTACAACAGGTACCTACTATAAACATCACGTGACCTACAATAGACGCCATGAAAGATACAATAGGCGCTGTGCAACATACAATAAGATACAATAGGCGCTGTGCAACATACAATAAGATACAATAGGCGCTGTGCAACATACAATAAGATACAATAGGTTCTGTGTAACATACAATAAGATTCAATAAGCGCTATGTGACCTGCAATAAGCGCGATGTGGCCTGCAATAGATGTCATGAAACTCAGTAGGTATTGTGTGACCTCCTACACTCACTATGGCCTATAAGAGACACCAGGTGACCTCTACTAAGAGGTTCACCATGAAAGATGTCACTCATCTCCCACAACACACTCTGGGGGACTCGGAGAGGTCACTCATCTTCCACAATACACTCTGGGAGGCCCAGAGAGGTCACTTATCTCCCACAACACACTCGGGGACACTCATCTCCCACAACACACTCGGGGACATTCATCTCCCACAACACACCATGGGAGGCCTAGAGAAGTCAGTCATCTCCCACAACACACTCAGGGAGAATTAGAGGGTTAATTATCTCTCACAACACATTCTGGATCAATCGTCTCCCACAACACAATATGGGATTGCCAGAGAGGTTAATCATCTCCCACAACACACTCTGGGAGACTCATCTCCCACAACACACTCTGGGAGACTCATCTCCCACAACACACTCTGGGAGGCTCATCTCCCACAACACACTCTGGGAGACTCATCTCCCACAACACACTCTGGGAGACTCATCTCCCACAACACACTCTGGGAGGCTCG